GGGTGCTCATAGTCGGAAGCCAGAATCAGGAGCAGAGTAGGGCTTGCACGCACACATTGTGATATGGGATTCAGGTGTTCCGCATGGTGCCTTAACCACTGCACCTCAATCGCACTTACTTAATTACTACAAAGAAACAAATAAGACTCTAGAACACCTTGTTTGGAAGAACCTGAGCTGGAGTGAGAGTTTGGCCTAACACTTGAGATTCAGGCTAGGATGCCCATATCTGTATCAGTGCCTGGACTGCACACACAGCTCTGCTCCTAAGCCCAGCTTTCCTTGAATGCAGACCCTAAGAAGCAATGATGATGGCTTACGACTGACTGGGATCCTGCCACTCATGTGGAACTTGCATGGTGTTCCTGGCTTCCGGCTTCAGCCCCAGCTCACCTCTGGCTTGTGTGGACATTCATGGTAGTGAACCCCAAAATGGAGCTTTCTCTGTTTTCCTCTCATTTTCCTTATATTTCCAATAAATAAAATAAATAAAAATGTAAAAAAGAAAGCAGGAAGCTGACCTAGAAATTTCCATATGGCTATCATGGCTATAAGTGAGAGAGGAAATGCTGAATCATTCTGCTCCTAAGAAACAAACTGTAACACAGCCTCATTTCCAGGTCAGACTCATTTCATGGTCTCGGTGTCTGCCTCTACGTTTGTGACTTGCACTCCTTTCTTCAGCCAGTTAATGACACAGACCTGTGGGGGTAGCCAGAGCACTTAATTCTCACCAGTGAATCTACCCTCATGTTATAGCTTATTACAGGAACATTTGCACATCCAATTGCTAGCTTCCAAACACAGAAACTCAGTACCCTAAAAGCTGCATGTACTTCAAATTAGCCTTTGCGACCCCTCACTCAGTCATCCAACCAATACGACCCAACGGCCACATGTACCAGTTACAGAGTGTACATTTGAGAAATCTCCAGTTATTCAAGACGATAGGGGAGATAAAACCTTGTAAATAAGTAAATAATAATAAAATATGATGAGTGCCACTTTCAAAGGTATGGGCAATACTATCTGGTGGTTAGTGGAGGACCATGACCACCTGGGGATGGGGAGAGAATGTGAAAAGGATTATCTGGAGATGAGTGGCTTGTGCTAGCCTTCATTGATATTCGCCATGCAGGAGGGGCAAGATGGGCGTCTCAGGGAATCGGGGCGACAGTGAAGCTGATGTGGTCGATGCATGGGCAAGAATAGAAGAATGGAAGAGATGAGACAGAAAGTGTTTAGGCTAGAATCACTGCACACTGCTTCTAATTCCCTGCCCAGAGACCTGTAAAAAGAACTCAGACTTAGGCCTGACACAGAAAAAGCACCCAATACATCTTGCTGCGACAAGTGTTATTACATGCCTTTTGATCAAATTCAACACCTTACACCGAGGGTCAGACACAATTAGTAAATATTTGCTGACAGAAGGTAGAATTTGCAGACCCTCAGAAGCAAACAGATGTGGACATGCATTTTATAACGTCACACATAGCTGAAAACAGAAGGTGTTTTATGCAGGATTGCCTCAGTCACCTGAAGGTCATTCTCCCCACCCAAACCCATGCTGGGCAGGGTACATTACTGTATTAAAAATAAGTATTGTTCAAGCAGCATTTGGCATCACAGTTAAAATTCCATTTGAGCTTCCTATATCCCATATCTAAATGAGTCCTCAGCTTCTTGTTTTCGGCTTCCTACGAACTCACACCCTGGGAAGCAGTGGTGATGAGTCCTATTATTCACACAGGAATCCTGGATTGAGTTCCTGACTCTTGGCTTTGGTCTGGCCTGGTCAGCAGCGCTGATAGGCAATTAGGGAGTGAACCAGTAGATGGGAAATCTCTCTCTCTCTGCCTTTCAAATAAATAAATGTTTTTAAATCATGAAGGCTTATGTTTGTGTAGCATTTTTAGATTATATGTATGATTATAATCTTATTCAAGATAACGGCAGGCAATCTTTCAAGCCAAAACTTTTAATCTCTTCTTTGAATGTTATTTCCATATATAACCTGAAACTCTAATTCTTGCATTTGGGCTCCCAGAGTGGAAAGCTCACTGTTCAATTTCGACAGTTGGCTGAGGCCCTGGACTTTGTAGTTCCAAACTGACTCCTTCATTATACTCCTGTGCTAATTTAAGAAGCAGCAGGACAGAATGATGGCAGGAAGGCTTTGTAACAGTGGTATTTAATTTGCTAAACTATAAAGCTCCTATGCAAAGGCATTGTCTAGCCGCAATCCCACATCTATTGAGAAAGGTTCCATTGGTTGCAGGTGTCCTCAGGCATTCTCCTTCCACGTCAACGGACTAGGAATTAGGAGTAGGTTCATTAAGAACCTTTGACTAGCTTGCCCATATTTAAGGGAGTCACTTCATCTCTTTGGTGTCAGGTTCTTTATAAAACGAAGACGTTAGGATAACGTCCAGCTCTCACATTCTGTAATTCTCAAATGTGAAATCACATTAACATCAGCATAACGATATATTCTGTATTTCAAAGCCAGTGAATTCCGGAATCCTATGCAGAGAAATACTTGAGCTCTGCAAATTTCCAAGAGTTTTCTGTAGCGTTAGAGGAAATTGGGGAAAACAGCTCATATCTTTACTAATGTGAAAAAAAATGTGGAGTGCCTATGACGGCAAGGCACTATTCGAATCACCACCACACCAATAAACAAAACAAAAGACGCCCTTCTTTGCAAGGGGTTTATTTTATTGTGCTTTCATGAATCTCCCGCAGGATACCAACCCTTTCATAGTTCTGAAGCGGAAACAGCGATCTAACGAGTTTGTTCCATGGGTTGTGATTTTTTGGTGGGGTTATCTTTGAGTTAACAAAAACAAAAAGCCACACCAGAAAACGCCTGTCTTCAATTTCCCCATCAACAGTCGCCAACAGCTGTGTAGATTTACAGACGTAACCCCGGGCTGGTTCTCTGGCATGAAGTGACTTAAGCCTCTGCCTGCAGCGACAGCACCCCATATGGGTGCTGGCTCAGATCTGACTGCTCTACTTCCAATCCAGCTCCCTGATAAAGACTTGAGAAAACAGACAAATGCCAAGTCCTTGGGCCCCTGCACCACCTGGGCGACCCAAAAGAAGCTTTGGAAATGGCTTCAGACTGGCTGTTGTGGCCATTCGGGGAGTGAATCAGCGGATGGAAGCGTTCTCGCGCTCTCTCCCCCTCTCCCTTCCTCTGTGTGTGTCACTCCTCTCCTTCCCCTGTCTTTCCCTCTTCATCTTGTAACTCTGAGTTTCAAGTAAAATAAATTCTTAAAAAGGAAAAAAAAAAAAGGTAACTCTTAACTTGAACAAATTGAGATATTAACACACGAATTCTACTGAATTTTATGACATTGAGTCAAAAGGTTTAAAGTTAAATCAGGTCTTAGAGATTAATTTTCTCTCTTCCTGCTATTTTTTTTTAACAAGTGTTTTAAATATTTCCCTACTCTTAAAAAAAATTTGTGCCGGGCGCACAGCAGGAGCATGATGGGGGAATTTTAGTTACTGTATGTGAAAAAAAAAAGCCTCTTTATAAGCTGTAAAAGAAATAAGTAAGCAAACTCAACCTGGGGCTGGGAGGATGTATATATTAAGTGCTCCATCCAGATCAGTAACAGAAAACAGATGATCTAATTTAAGCAGGACACTTTCAGGCTGGATGACCCCTAGACCAAACGGAAGGATCAAACACATCAAGTGGCTTACCCAAAGCAGAGCCAAGAAGCTTGTTAAGAGCAAGGCTGTGATAAGAATTCAGGCCTGCAACACTCCCTTTTCAGATGCTACCTGAGCCAACGGTAACAATTTTGACAAATCAAGGAGAGAGAAAGTACCCTTGCTGTTTGGAGGACACTGCTGAAGATGAAGTGCAAGGCCCCCAGCGTTTGCAGGGTGTTTCTCAGCAGGGCACAGCATCTGATGACTATCTACAGAAAGCATGGATACACCTGTGGAGGAAAGACCTCCCACTCAGAACCCATCATGCTCAAAAGGACGCTTGCAAACAGTCTGTCCAGAATTTAGAATCTCCTTTCCTTGCTGAAAAAAAGTAACAAATTCCAAGCTAATCTTGCTAGATAGGGTTCCAATAACATGAATAGAATCCCAAGGAGAACCTTGAACTGGGCCTAACCCCCCTGAGTCCTGAACCCCCTGAAAAGACTGGACACGCCCAGGGTAGCACTGGAGACACTTAGATGGAAACCCTATGGAAACTTTCCAAACCACCACTCCTCAGTCAGAAAAGGCTTGAATTAAGAATAACTGGGGATATCTAAACACAGGCTCAGTCTTTTGAGGTCACGGTCACAGTTGATAACCATGTCTTGCCCAGGAAAGTCTCTTGGACAACAGCAGTGGAGTGATCCGTGAGGCTAGGCTGATTGTACCTGAACCTGCTCTTCTGGAACTCAACACTTTGGGAGTAGGGCAGGGGGAGGGAAGGATGAGCGAAAAGAAACCCATCAAAGGTCTACTCTGCCACTTTACAGCCAAGAGATGACGCCAGTCCGTCTTGGGTTTCCCCCGTATGTAGGTTCCCAGCTTGGGAATACTATTCTGCAGTGCATTACTGAGGCTTATACACTCCAGAAAAACTTTTCCAAACCTTTGTCTTATTCGCAATTTTTGCAGGTGTAGGGCGGGTTTCTTATCTCAGTCTAAAACCGACAGGGGATCGATCCGAGCTTGCACCTTGATTTTCCTGGGAGCCCCGCGTCCGACGAATCTGGGTTCTTCCAAAAACAAAAGTCCCTAAGTAAATTAAATCTCGCTCTCAAATCCTAGCCTCGGGACAGCCGGTGGTAGGTAACCGTCAAGGTTAGGAGCTTTCTCCAAGCTCAAGTGGTGTGGAGCGGGGAGAGCGGCTGGGGGTGCGGGGCCCCAAGGAGACACAACTGCTGGAGGCCCATGTGAGCGCGCCCACCCTGCCGGCTCTCGGGGACCCCGGCGCGCCTCCCTGCCCTCCCGGGTCCCGCCTCGCTCACCGAGGTGGCCGCCCACGACCGTGACGGCGATCTGGTCCATGAGCACCGCCCGAAAGCGCACGTCCTGCTCGGAGCAGCGCTGCCGGAGGGCGCGCATGATCTGCACCTGCGGGTAGTCCTCACGGATGCGCCGGTCCGTCAGGAACCACAGCTGGGAGCACATGGCGACCAAGGCGGCGGCGCCCGGTGCGGCGCTGACCCCCTCGGCGCCCCGGGCCGCTGGCTCGGCAGGGCGAGCGCGCTGGGGCTCCGCTCCCGCCGGTGCGCCAGGCGCCTCTGCAGCCCTGACCCAGCGAATCGGTCCGGCCACTCCGCGCCGCCGCCGTCCCGGGCCAGCCAATCAGCGAACGGCGGCGGGCACCGGCCGGCGCGGCCAGCTGCAGAGGCGGCCCCGGCGGGCGGCGGGCTGCGGGCTGCGGGCGGCGGCCGGGAGGGGCGGCGGGTCGGGGGCCTGCGGCGGCCGGTGGAAAGAAGTCGGACAGGGCGTTCGGTTCCCCACTTCTCCCCCTTCCCCAGGAACCCGTGCGTTGGCGAGGCCGAGGGAGGAGAACATCCCTGCGATGCCCTGGACCGCGGTGGGCTAGATGCGGCCGGCCAGGGTGTGGCGGCTGGTGCGGGAGGGGACCCGGGCGACGATTTTGTGGGGGCGGAGAGGGTGTCCAAGCCGGAGGGCCCCTCTGCACAGTGGACCATGGATGCGCTCTAAAGGTGGACCCGAGCGCTGGGGGGCCCGGATGCAGGTATCTGCCTGCAGAGCTCTGGACAGGGCCTCAGGGTCGTCCCAGAGAGGACGAAGGTCACACGACTGGACTCCCAGTTGGACCCTAACCCTGGAAGATGGAAGATCTCTCTGCCCAAATCCTGGCCTGAAGCCAAGTGGGGGAGGAAGGCGCAAGTGGAGTTTGACCACCTCCGTTTGCTTGGCTTTTCTCAGCTTGATGTCCCTTCCTCGTTGGCAGACCTTCACAACCTCTAAGTCATAAATAGTATCTAAGACCCCTCTTAGAAAGCCCCCTGACCGTCTCCCTTCTCCTGGCCTCCCCCAGGCTGTTCTACTGAGTCATCTTGAAACCCTGTCTTTGGTTGTAGCCAGTTGCAGATCTTGCCTGCAAACAACAGTGCTTGAAGCCAGGTTTTCCTCTCCAAATTACTGCGAGATTGAGGTTAGCCATCTTTGAAGAATGCATTTGCTCTTCTAGCTCATTAACATGTGTCTCTTTTTTTCCCCTTTCGGCTTAGGGAAGCAAGACGAGGCTTGGTAGTGACAACTTAGAAGCAGGAGATGTTGTCTTGGGAAAGGTGCAGGCATCCATGCAGATATTGTGCAGGCATGTGAATTTACCACTAAGATGTGCCCTTGCAAAAGTTCTGACTACAGAGAATTTCAAAAGTGTTATTTCCCAAGCCATCTTTAGTGTGTTTTTTGAATTATAAATTTTCACACACACACATGTTTTGCCATGACCTAGTGCACTATGGATCAGTAATTTTTGGAAACTGTCTTCTGACCACACATGGACTTGGGCACTTGAGACTCCACATTCTACACTGGCCACTTTGTTCCATAGTATGTGCTTTGTTGACCCACAGGGCCGTTTATCCTGTCCAATCCCTTGCCCTGCAGCATTGTAAACTAAACATCTATGTTCCACCACCCTGGTGTCAATAACTGGCTTACTATGCAGTGGGTGCAGGAATGTTGTTTCTTCTTCTTCTTCTTCTTTTTTTTTTTTAAAGATTTACTTATTTTATTGGAAATGCAGATTATAGATAGAAGGAAATACAGAAAGATCTTTTGTCCACTGATTCATTCCCCAAGTGGCTGCAGTGGCCAGAGCTGAGCCGATCCGAAGCCAGGAACTTCTTCCAGGTCTCTCACATGGGTGCAGGGTCCCAAGGCTTTAGACTATCCTCTATTGCTTTCCCAGGCCACAAGCAGGGAGCTGGATGGGAAGTGGAGCAGCTGGAATACAAACCGGTGCCCATATGGGATGCTGGTATTGCAGGTGGAAGATTAGCCAATTGAGCCATCACACTGTACCCCAGAAATGTATATTCTAACTTGTTATATGTTATATATTTCTAACTTGCTACATCCCCTAAGCTTCCTCAGAACTCCAAATAACAGTTACGAGCTTCTTTGTTGGTGACTAGATCAGTGTGTTGGAAGGGAGTGCACCCAAATAGACCCAATACTTTGCAACTCTCCTGTAACTGCAGTGTTTCCCCAGCTTTGCAAGATATTCCAGCAATTCTCATACAATTCTCCCAAGGTATGTGTGTGTGTGGTGGGAGATCATAGGAACTCCTGATTTACAGCCAGTCAGAAATATAGGAAACTCAGATTGTGAATGGCAATCTGAGGCAGGGATCGTTTTATGGGACTGAGCCCTTAACTTGTGGAATGTGATGTTAACTCAAGGTGGTTAGTGTCAGCATCGAATTGAATATCAATGGGATACCCAGCTGGTGTCTAGAGAATTGGAGAATTGATTGGTGTGGAAGAGGCTCATACATTTAGTATCAGAAGTATTGTAGGAGCTTGAAACCGTTCTTCCTTTGTACCTGGATAATCTCTCCTCTTTTCTGAAGGTGGTCATTAGGAGGATAGAACACTGGCAAAAATAAGCAGAACATTCCCCTGCCAAACAGTTTGGTGTGCCTTGTCTACTTGTCCCTTCTTCTAGACTAAACCTCTCAGGAACAGGAGCCAGCACAACATGCATACTGTTTGCTCAGCTACCTGCCAATGACCATTGGAACTGTCATCTTAGAGACATCATTGCAACTATAGTTGATGAAACTGTGGTCAATCTGCTAGGTTTTTGTAACCTGGGGATTCTGAGACCATATTTTTTCTTCACCTCCAACCTTCACTATTGATTGGCATAGAAAGATATTGAGCTGTGGATCTAAATATTGGAAAGAAAGCAAGTCTTCATAATATTACATATGACCCCAAGCAAGTGGATTTGCAAAGACTTAAATTTAACTGACTTCAATAAACTAGAGAAATTTATTTTCATTAACAGGTTAAAATGGAAAACAGTACACTTAAGGAGCAAAAGAACCATCACAGACAGGCACACACAGAAAAAAAAAAAAACAACTAGCCACACAATCTGATAATTGTGACAAACCGATAATGGAATGCATAGAAAAATCCAGGAGCTGACTTACCAGAAGTGTGGGAACACAAACTACTGTTCATTCCTCTGAGCTCTATTATGACTACACACAGTAACTACTGGTATGAACTAATTTAAATTGTGATGTTGGCTTTGCAACACTTTCACATGAGTGATTCCTGCCATCTCCTCAAGACCCAGTTCAAATGCAACTTTTCTTCCATAAAATCTATCCCATCTTTAGGTAGGAGAAGGTACTGCACTTCTGAATTTTCATAAACATTTTTTATTTCAGAAATGGAACTCTGTCATTGTTTGGTGGGTGAGTGGTAGTTCTTTGATTATAGTCATGTAGTAGACAAAGATTTGACATGGCTGAATAAAGGAAGATACTTGAGAATCTATGGTGCTTGTCATCATTGTCATTGCCTGCCTTGCTCTTGTTGGCGTTGTCTTCAGGTACCATATGAAATTCAGATGTTAGCTTTTCCCTCTTATCTAAGCTCACATCCTCCAAACTCTCTCACATGAGGTCCTGGTGAACAAACTGGAATTTACAGAAGGAGAGTCACAATTTATATCATAAAACTCACAATGGGGCATTTGGAAATACCTCACAAACACTTCCTCAGAGCACTCTGCCTGGTTCTACTATCAGAGATCTTTTCCCATCCCTATCTACTTCCAAAGCCTCTAGCCTTGGGGCTCTTCATTCTCTCTCCCAAGGCACCATACAAATTCCTCAGCCCTTCATTTCTCAGAGAAATAGTTCATCCCAGATCTGACTTCCAAATATGCACCCTGGACAAATTATTGTGTTTGGCAAGCCATGTCTTCTGACTAGAGAATTTAACTTTTCCAAGAAGTAGAGAAATTTTATTTCTAAAAAAAATTCTAGTTGTCAAACATATTTAATACTAAATAACAAGACAGAACTAGTCAGAGAAGTGCCCCTCCTTCAGCAGGTTTCCTGAAGTCTACCTTTGAAGACTGCGTGGTAGCATGCAAGCAGAATGTTCAGCTCTGGGTGAACTTGACTCTCAGAACAAACTGTAAATTTATAGTTTTCTTTTTCTTTTTCTGCATATTTCTGTCTTTGAAAGGCAGAAAGATGAGGGGAAAAAGAGAAAGTTCTTCCTTCTGCTAATTCACTCTATAAACGTCATAAACAGGCAGGGCTGGGGCAGGGCAGTTAGCAGCCAGAACCTCCCTCTGCCTCGCCTACATATTGAGCAGAGAGAACCCAAGTACTTAGGCCATCGCCTGCTGCTTTTTAGGCTCATTTTCCAAAAGACGGGTCCCACGTGCTACCACATGAGATGTGGGTATCCCAAGTGGCAGCTTAACCACAATGCCCACTCCGAGAATTTATCATTTTCAAAGAGATTGCTCTATCTCTCTTGAGACAAGGCGGCATAACTGCTTATCTTGCTATCAGCCCAGCCTCACACAGCTGTACTCATTGTAGATATTTGTTGCCTGAACTCTTCTTAGTTCCCTAGTCATTTCTGAGAAACAATTACATTAAAAACCTTAGCACGCTTTTTTTTTCTTCTCATCGGGGGTACAGGCTGCCATAATAAAGACCCCCTTCCCCGTGACGTTGACTTAATGAGAAGCTGGTTCTCTCTCACTTAGTAGTCTGTTAAGGTGGACGCCTGTGGTGGCCTACTTCACTGCTCACCCTGGGATGCACGGTCCTTTCGTCTCGGTTTGCCATCACCCCAGAGTATGATCATTGCTTGAATAGTTGAGGCTGGCTCATGTTACCGTATTTCTGTTCCAGACCTCTGCAAAGAGAAAGAATGGAAGGAGAAAATAGAGAACAAGTGATTTTCTATTAATAAGTTTATGTGAAAGTTATACTCATGGGACTGGAATTTGGCCTAGTGATTGGGATGTCCATGTCTCATGTCAGAGTGCCTGAGCTCAATACCTGACTCTTGCTCCTGACTGCAGCTTCCTGCTAATGCAACCCCCAGGAAGCTGTGCATGGCTCAAGTGATTGGGTCCTGCCACCAGCTTGAGAGACTGTGCTCAGGTTCCTGCCTTTTGCCCAGCCCAATCCTGGCTATAGTGAGCATTTGAGGGATAAGTGGATGAAAGCTCTCTTTCTTCCTGTGTCTACCTACCTGTCAGTTCTC